AATTTTTTTTTTTTTTTTTTTTTTTTTTTTTGAGGTAGGGTCTCGCTATGTAGTTCAGGCTGGCCTTGAACTCACGGCATTCCTCCTGCCCCAGCCTTCCAAGTGCTGGGACTACAGGCCTGTGCCACCATACCTGGCTTGATTTTACTTTGAGATAGGGTCTCACTGTCACTAAGTTGCCCAGGCTGGATTTGTCCCGTGTCAGCCCCCCAGTGCTGGGATTAGAGTTCCCTACCACACCTGCCTTAAAGGAGTATTTTAGCAGAGCATGTGAGAATGATCTCGGTACATTCCCTTTTTCTCTCCACCCCCTTTTCCTGCCTCATGCTACCTGTCCTGTAGCTGTACTCAATCTGGATGTTCCCTCCTTCTTGTGGCCTCATTCCTTTTCCACGTTGCTCTTCCTCCCTGGGACACCAGCTCTTAAGTGTCCTCTGCTGCCTCATTAACCTTTACTCCTTCCGTTGGTCTGATTGTTTCTGTCTTCACAAGCTTTCCTGGGTCCCTCCAGGCTGTGCTCAGGGGCCCTTTGTAACTGCCCTGTGCACACCTTGACCATAACTCGAACTTTGCTCCACACTACTTACTTCGACTGCTGGTTTATTTCTTCCTCATCCCCACTGGACTCAGAATACCTTGATTACAAAGTCTGTATCTTCCCTCCACAATTCCCTGGTTTCTAGCTCAGTTCTGAGCTTACAGTAGATGTTGAAGGAATGTTTTTGAATAGGTTGTAGCAAATACTTATCTTGTGCCAAACACTCTAGGACGGCTCTGGGGATATGGTAGGTGTATCACAAATACTTGCTTCATTCAAAGCTGAAAAGCCCTGGAACGGATGTGCCCACAGCACCCTCTCCTACCTTCTGAGATGAAGCATTCATGGTAAAAGAGTTTCCTCTAAAAGCAAGGCTCTCCAAATTTTGAATGCTGGAAAATTACTTTGGAAGGCTTATTAAAAAGGCAGAGTTTAGGGCTCTAACCATGGCTCTTTTTATTCTATAGGTCTGGGATTCAGTGCTTGGAACATGCCTTTTAAAAATAGGTTTTCTGTGATTCCAGGGGCATTTTCTGGGGAGCACATAGGGAGAAGCATTGCTGTGGCATGGGTGCCTGGGACACCTGTTGACTGATGTAACTTGCAAAGCAGTTACTCCTGTCTTCTCTGATTTTATCTCCTTTGTTTACCCAGAAACCAAGGATGACCTCGAACAGCTCACCATGGAGATCAAGAAAAGGGCCAACAATGTGCGGAACAAACTGAAGAGTAAGAAGGGAAGAAGGGAAGGAAGGGAAGAAACCAGTCCTTCCCCCGCCCACTGCCGCTCCCCAGGCCCACTTCTGCTGAACTGACACTTATCTTGATCAGAGTGATACCACTTCTTCCACTTTGTGGTTTGGGCACTGTCCCTGGAATGACCTTTTATAGTCCCAGAAATTTACCTTCTCTTGAAACCTAACTGGTTGAAAATGTCTAGAATTGAAGTTAAGAGATGGGAGTCAAATGTATTTTCAGCTACTGGCTTGTACTTTAGCTTAGACTCTCAGTTTTTTTTTAAGTGGTCCTATTTTCCTGGCACCTACATTTAGTTGAATTGTAATTTTGAGACCTGTAGTTGCAGGTTAATATTCAGTCTGCTGACCTTGGTGGACTAGGTATTTCTTGGTAGGCATCTTCCTGTTGAAACCTTTTTGTTCCCCACTTGAGAATATACTTCAGTGAAGCTGTTGTCACAGATTCAGTTCTCTTAGGGACTCCGAAGTTCCATGAATATTGTCTTTTTTTTTTGAGTCTTGGGGATGGAACCCAGGGCCTTCACGCTTCTCCTTCCCTAAAGTTGTCTTAAATTTTTAAAATTTTGAGATAAGGTCTTGACAAGTTGCTTAGGTTGGGCTCAAACTCAATTTTCCTGCCTCAAGAGTGCTGGGGTTACAGGCCTGCACCATGACACCCAGTTAGTCTGTATTCTTGCCCAAAATAATTAATGATGTGTGGTACCAGTCGAGGGGAAAGCAGTTTTGCAGAGCCTAGTTTATCATTATCCCCACCCCACTTACCGCCACTCCTTCTGTGGGTGTGGAGAGGTGGTGGTGTGGCTTCCATGGGCACTGTGCTTGCACCTCACGTGTGTTCTCATCTAATCTTCATGTTGCTATTCTGAGGAGGAGGTCAGGGGTGAACATCCCTAACTTGAAAATTTGATATTCAAAATGCTCTGAAATCTGAAGCTTTCTGAACCTGGAGGTGATGCCAGAAGTAGAAAATTACCTACCTTGACCTCATGTGACAGATTTTAATCAAGAAACAGGAGCACTAAAAAAATATGGTATAAATTTATGTTCAGGATATGTTTAAAGCGAATATAAAACATAACTGACAGGGCCAGGGATTTAGCTCAGTGCTGCCACCAACTGCCTTGCAAGCACAAGGTCCTGAATTCAATCCATGGTACCCGCCCCCAAAAAACCCATAACTGACAAAAACAAACAAATAAAACATAACTGAACTTTGTGTCCTACCCCAAAGATATCTCCTAATGTCCATGCAAATATTCCAAAGTCTGAAAATCTCCATCTTTGAAACACTTCTGGTCTCCAGTATTCAGCTGGCACTGTTACTTGCTCCATGTGACAGACAGGAGAACAGAAACGTTGAGAGAGGCTGTGTGGCGTTCTCAAGGTCTCACGCCTAGCCAGTGGTGTGGCGAGGATTTGGGCCTACATCTCTTGGTGGCCCAGGAGCCCCCTCTTCACCCTTATGCTGAGACTTGGGAATAGATAGTGAAGGCTGATAAGAGCAAGACTGGATCTGCGAGCTGGCCTCCGAGACTGTGCCTCCTTGTGGCTCCACCTCCTGGGCTCTGCATGTACGGATGAGGAGGTCTGCGTGGAAGTGTTTCTTGGGAGGAGGAGCACACGTGCTGCTAGAATCGTCTTCCTCTCACTCTAGGCATGGAGAGGCACATTGAAGAAGACGAGGTCCGGTCGTCAGCTGACCTTCGAATTCGGAAGTCCCAGGTACATCTGTCCTTGGTCTAGCGGTCAGCTCCGGTCCTTTTTTTCCCCTCAGTTTTAGAATCCTTTCTTTCTTTTTCCCATCTTGCATTTCTTTTGGGGGGGTGTACCAGGGATTGAACTCAGGCCCTTGTGCTTGTGAGGCAGGCAGTGGCACCACTGAGCTAAATCCCCAGCGCTCCATCTTCCATTCTTAATTGGAACTCAGTTTGGAGAACTGGTAAAGGGAAGTATCCAGGTTGGAGCAGGCTCAGGGCTAGGATTTAGCCCTTTTGATTCTTCTCTCACTCTTCTTCACTAAGGAGGTCCTCGATAACTTCCTGAAACTCCCCAGAGCACAGCTAGTGTCTTCCCTTCCCTTCTATTTTCTCCTCTATCTTTCCATCTATACATGATTCATTTTTGGTGGTATTGAGGATTGAACCTAGGGCCTTGTGTAGCCTCCTATGGGCAAGGGAATTGCTGTCTTCTTTCTAAAGATTGTGTCATTAGTTGTCCAGTTTGGAATAAGGAATTTTAGGGAACATTAAAGCTAGGATCCTTGAACTTACAGAACTAGCGTGACATCCAAGCGGCAGAGAACTATTACGTATAGGCCAGCATAATAGTGTTATAAGACATAATTAAATGTGGTGCTTTTAGCATGCAACAGTCTGGGGTAACTGGAATGGCCAGGATGCCAGTGTGGACGGGCTTGGGAGGGTTTCCCCTTTACACACACACGAGTTTAGGCAGCAGCATGGTGGTGATGGCGAGTGACATGAAGAGGATAGCATGACTGGAGAAACAGGTTTGTTGTGGGGCAGCAGATGTTGAATGGAAGATAATTCAGTGGCACATTCTAGAGTTCTTTGGATACCAGTCTGGGGCACTGGATCTGATTCTGTAGCCTGTTTCAGGTCAGTACATTAGGACATGATGGTGGCTGTTTGAAAGTTGGATATGAGTGGGGAAGAGACAGGAGGCTGTAGGTCTCTAAGTCTTTGCACTAATTTGCAAAAGTTTGGTCTGAATTTGTATGGCAGAGGTGGGTATGGAAGAAGCATAGATGCTGGTGCTTTCTGCCAAGTTGAAATGAGTAAGGCCTGGGAGGCAGGCAGGTAATACAAAGTATTATCAAGCTTTGAGTGTCAGCATCCAGGGCTGCTGAGAGAATGTAACTGCCTGTAAGCAAGAAAAGTTGGGAAGATCAGTGAGGGACTTGAAGGTCTTTGCCAGACAGGATATGTAAGAAGGGAGGTGCCAGCTTAGAAAGCAAGCCAGGGGTTGTGGCAGAAAAACACTAGTCAAAGTAGATGCAGGCAGGGCTTTGAGATCCTCACATTAGCTCCTTTTCCCTCAGTTACGTTGTGAAGTCAGCAGAGCAGGTAGGGATGCTGAAGTCATGTTTTGGAATTGGCAGTGGACTATCTCAGTGGCACAAAACCAGGAGATCAAAAGGTTGGGTCTCCTATGTGGTCTTCTAGTCCCAAGCTCAGTGCTGCTGTAGACCAGGCCATGTAGGGCGGGGAAGGAATTTTATGGCAGTCATAGACCTTCCTCTGACCTCCCCAGGGCTTATTCACTTAACATTGTTCCCATAGCACTCTGTCCTCTCCCGGAAGTTTGTGGAGGTGATGACCAAATACAACGAGGCACAGGTGGACTTCCGTGAACGCAGCAAAGGGCGAATCCAGCGGCAGCTTGAAATTAGTATGTGTTTGAGGTTTGGTGTCCTCCTCTGCTTTTTTCTGCATGCCATTGTCTATCCCAAGTTGGGAGGCTCTGGGAGAAACAGCAGCAACACTGTGTGGTTTCTGCATACTTATTTTGTGTGTGAGCCTAGAACAGATGTTATAACATTGGCACATCCTGAACGCTGCATCCTAGGCTGGAAAGTGGCATGAGTTCTATCAGACTTGTGTAATTTTATTCTGATGGAATGTGGCATTTCCTTATAGCTGGAGGGGAGATACCTGCTAAACACTTGGTCTCCTATAGCTTCATTACATCTTTTTGCTATGTGTGAGACAGCACATTTAAGAAATAAAAGGTGTGGAGCTAGTTGCTGTGAGGATAAGGAAACCAATGAAGCCATGGCCTCTAGGAATTTATTAATACAGAAGGCAAGGGCTTTCAGGCCAACTGTACCTTAAGTGGGAGCGACTATGTGACAAGGATGTAATCAAGAAAGAGGAAGTATGCTTAGGAGTGGCAGTTTGTCCAGAGTCTGAGAGAGGGTGTGTTTGGAGCTGCACATTAGGTCCAGGTGGGTTGAGGGAGGGCTTGCCTATGAGGGCAGAGATCATGGGGCAAAGAAATGGCCTGAGCTGGGAGATGATGGAAATCACCGCAGTAGGTGCTTTAGGAAGGGAACTCCTGACACTGTCCAGGAGGAGTTGGATTAGGGGAGAACTCAAAGGAAAAAGGAGTCTGGAGATTGTGGGGAGTGTGTGGGTCCTGGTCCTAATGGTGAAACCACTATTCCTAGTGGCTGGGGAGCTGTTAGAATGGGATGTGCTTTGACGTTGTATTTGATGTTCTACTTTTGTTAAAAAGCTGGCAAAAAGACTACAGATGAGGAGCTGGAGGAGATGTTGGAGAGTGGCAATCCTGCCATCTTCACTTCCGGGGTGAGTGAATTGGGTACCATGAGGCAGGGCCTCACCTGGCCTTGCCGGTACAGGGTGAGCAGCATCACAGGGAGGTGGGCAGCAGGGAGTTTTGTGGGAATGTGGGTGGGGGGCTGTGCAGAGGCAATTTTTGCTGCAGGGTACTGATATCCTGTGTGTGTATCTGGTTGCAGATCATCGACTCACAAATTTCCAAGCAAGCCCTCAGTGAGATTGAGGGTCGGCACAAGGACATTGTGAGGCTGGAGAGCAGCATCAAGGAGCTCCATGACATGTTCATGGACATCGCCATGCTGGTGGAGAACCAGGTAAGTGGCAGTGAGACAGGAGGGCCCAAGATCTCACAAGAACAGAAGAAAGGCATATGGGCAGTCAGGCGAGGTGGGGTGGACAGTCAGGGAATGTGCATGTGGAATAAAGGTATCCCAGCCCCCTATATGTGCATTCTTAGCAAACACTGAACCTTTGGGCTCTCACCCTTACCATTCCTGCCTGTGACTGTGGTCCTGCAATCTTTTCTGATTTGTACAGTTTTGCTGTGTTGTGTAGTACCTTGTCCACTCAGCCTAGGAATCAATTTTTTTTCTACCTTTTAAATTTTTTAAAAATTAGAAATAACAGGTTCTTAATGATGTCTTAAAACAGTCTCCTGATATAGTTTCACTGGTAACATTGAAAACCTGTGATCTTTTCTCAGTTCAAGGTGAAAATTTAGTGCAATTTAAAATGGAGGTTTTTATTCTTTTCCATTTTTTTAAAAATTTCTAAAAATTTTGGCACTTTTTTGTTATGGAACAACAGCTAACATAATCGTAAAAAAATATTTACAGATGACCTGGAAACATCCCAGGCTGGATGGTGTTCACCTTAGTACTCTTACTCAGGCATACTTTGCCTTTAGATGGTGCTAATTTCATGTCATCAGATGACTCCTATTTTTTACAGCGCCACAGGGCCACAAGGCTGTGCCATGTTTTCAGGCACTTTAGCTGCTCTGACCCCTGGATAGGACTGGAAATTGCTTCCTTATTAGACAGGCTGCAAAGCCCAGAAGCCCAGGCACTGCTTGAGTGGTGTTTCTCTGCTATGGGCCACAGTGCCTTCCCCACCCCTTTCCTACCCCTTGAGATCATTCCTCAAGTCTCTCCATCCCAAACCTTCTTTTTTTCCCCCCATAATGCCTTGCCGAGGAACTGGTTTGGGATTCAAGTGATGGTAAGTCCCTTGCTGTGTTTACAGAGGGTCACTATGTGATGGGGTTAGATCAAGGAAGATGGAAGGAATGTGGGGAATTCCCATCCTTAGATACCTGTGAGTTATCTGCAATGACCAAACTTCCCTGTCAGGGAATAACAGCTGGAGAACGGTTGGGAATCTTATTAAGAAAGAAGATAACCAAGTAGCATATGTAAATCTCGTATCTGTCACTTAAAGGGCCTGGGAATTTCTCTTGGAGAAAGAATATGTTCCCAATCTCAGACACGTATTGAAAACCTACCATGTGCCATGTACTGTTCTACAGTAGTGAACAACCTTTATGTAGGATGAGTGAACTTGGTTTGGTCCTGAATGACCAGGAAGAGGTCAGCATCCTCATGATGCTCAAACAACAGTAGCAGCAGCAACAACAAAGAACAAAACATGAGATGTTCTTATTTTTGTCCCTCTCCATATGCTTAAGTTAAAAAAAAAGGTGGGAGTGGGGTCCCTCAATATATTCATACGTGATAGCCAGTCTGCTTCAGATGCCTAACCAGGGGGGCTGGTCACAGAGAGTTACTGGTGAATGTTCCTTGATTAGTGACCACCAAGCACTGGGGAACTTGAGTGTGAACAGGTGCCCTGCAGAATTTCAGTTACTCCTCTTGGACTGTAAGATAGTCTCTTCCCATGTTAGCTCAGGCTGCTCTGGTGGGTTTCCTGGGTATGATTCATCTCTGTTTTTTGCAGGGTGAGATGTTAGATAACATAGAATTGAATGTCATGCACACAGTTGACCATGTGGAGAAGGCACGAGAAGAAACTAAAAGAGCTGTGAAATACCAGGGTCAGGCCCGGAAGGTGAGATTTTCCTGCTGCCTTCAAAGACAGTCCATTTGTGCTCTGTCTCTGTTTCTGCTGCCACTGTCTCTTGCATCTGGGTAAAGGGAGCCATGATTGACCGTATTGAGAACAACATGGACCAGTCAGTGGGCTTTGTGGAGCAGGCTGTTGCAGATACCAAAAAGGCTGTCAAGTATCAGAGTGAAGCCCGGAGGGTGAGCGCCTTAGTCTTAGTTGGCCTTATGTGCTTCTTCCACTGGTCACCCCACCTGTGCTCCTGGGCCCGTGCCTTCCCTCTCTGTCCTATGCAGCAACACCCAAAGCCTTTCCTAGAGCCCACCTGCCTGCCCTTCCTTCCCAGGGTGTCCTGCATGGATCTGGCTCACATGCTCTCTAGAGAACCCACGTGTGAAAGGCAGCTCTGTAGGAAGAACACATAGCCAGGAGTTGCTGCTGGTTTTCCGGCCGGCAGTTCATGAGCAGTCTAGATGGCACATGTGATCTGTTATTCAGAATCCTCCTCTTCATGGTCTTTTACTATGCTAGCCCAAGCTGTGCCCCGTGTATCTTTTTCTCTGTCTTGTATGTAGCACTTTGCTAAATGCTATGTGAAGTTTACCTATGGAAGCACCTGCTTTTTTCTACTTTTAGACAAAACAATTGAGGGTTAGAAGTTAAGTAGGTGGCTTCAATCCACCTAATAGCAGAGGTAAGATTCAAATACAGATCCTAATCATATTTTTCCCACATCACTGTGTCTGTCAGCTCTCCTAGTGTCCCTGTTGCTCAAGGATTTCTAAGCTTCTCTACTCATTGACTGTGGGTGTCCAGCTCTGGTGGCTTTTGCCTTTTACTGTTCTTATTTCTCTTGGGCTCTGAGACTTTTGTTCTTTAGTTTCTTTGTTTTCTTTTTACTTGTGCTTATTGCTTATGCAGGTATTTAGCAAGGTGGGGAGTTATTTTACACCATGAATCCATGCTGGACCATATTTCCTGATAGCTGTTCAGTATTCTGGGTCTGACAGGTACAAGTGGGCTTTAGGGGAAAGATGAACCGAAGATGGAAATTAGGACTGCATAAAAATGTTTTTACACTTCCCCTTGAAAATAAAACTTTTTGTTTATAATGGTCAGTGTCCACTTGGAGACCCCATGATGGTGGCTCTTACTGTATCTCTTCATATATGCAAGACAAACATGAGCTAAGAGCTGAGAAAAAACTCCCTATTTCCATCTGCTGGCACTGCTAGCTAAGAAGTAATTTAAGAAGTAAAATATCCTTAAAGAATATACAGAGAGGTAAACTTACTTGGAATGATAAGATACCTTCTATGCAGAGCAGTAGGGTAGGGTTTTAGATGTTATTTTTTTATAATAATGATTTTTTTTATCTTATTCCTTTCTCCAGAAATTGATAATTATCATTGTGGTAATAGTTGTGTTGCTGGGCATTTTAGCGTTGATTATTGGACTTTCCGTTGGGCTGTAATAAGAGCAGTTTAAGGGGCCGCTGCGCTGAGATGTAAGTAAATGACTGACTCTTGGGACTGGGGATTGGCTTCTCAGGAGGAAATGAGCCTGGGATTTCAAATGCTACTTCTTTTCTTTAATGACTGTACTTGGCACAATCATTCTAAAACGTGGCAGTTGCAGTTTTCATCGCCTTAAAATTGTTCTCAGGTTCTGGCTGTAATACAAGGGTTGGATCTCCTGCTCGTTATTGTCCTGCACATTATCACTCTTCCTTCTGTTGTCGTCTTGTCACCTCTCCTGGCATACTTGACTCTCCTTGCCAAGGACGCATGGGTAGAAGTTGGGTATAATCTATGTCTTGGATCTGGGCTCTGCCTTCTGAATTTTTAGGGTCTTTGCTTTATATCCTTTTCAGTCTAAAGGAAGCTTTGAGTTGGGGGTTGGGCTCCTTAGAATTGTATTTGTGGCTAACTGGTTGGAATTTGAATGAGGTAATAACTAACATTTTTGAGTGCTGAGTTGTACCTGGTAATCTGCTAAATACTGTAAACAACATACCACTGAATGGTCACAACACCCTTATGGGAGAGGTAGTAGTATTATGCACATTTTACAGATAGAGGAACTTGTCTTTTTTTTTTTGCGGAGAGGGTCTCACTATGCAGTTGAGGCTGGCCTCAAACTCACCATGTAGCCCATGCTGGCCTCGAACTTGTGGCAATTCTCCTGCTGTCTCCTCCTCTAAGTCTCCCAAGAGCTAGAATTACAGGCATGCACTACCATGCCTAGCGTGGAGGAATCTAGCCTAAAGAGAAATTAAGTAACAGGGCCAAGTTCACAGAGTCAATAGTGCACTTAGGAAAGTTCTCTTACTACATCTTAGCTTCTCTTTGTAAAATAAGGAAGCTATTTATCATTGTGTATAGAGTCTAGAGAACCTCAGAGAACAGAGGTTTTAAAATTTAGGCTATTTTCTTTAAAGTTTGTTTAACAAGATAGAGCTGACCACTATATCAGATTTAATAGCAGTTGGTATGACTATTAGATAATAATCTAGTTACTGGGATACTAAGACTTTTGAAATATTTTTTTCTGAATACAGCATTCATTGCTAAGACCTATAAAATACAAAAAATTGAAATTAACTTTTAATATTATTGCTGATAACCTTGTGACACATTCTCACACTTGTGGTTTACTTAGTTCAGACTATATTATCTATAGTTTGTTCTTAGTTACAAAATTATAAGCATTATTCCATATCACTAAGATCTTTTTAAATCTAATTTTAAGCATGCAACTGTGGATATACTCTCAAATATTTATACTTTGTTTTGCTTTAATAGGGTGACTAACCTTATGTAATATTTTTCACTTTTTCTCTTTATTATGAATTCACAGAAGTTGGCTTACTGAGGTAACATACACACATTCTTAAATCCTGATGCACCCATCCTTCCTTCCTTTTCTTCCTTCCTGTTTTTGTCTGTCTTCCTTTTCTCTCAGTTTTTTCAGACAAGGTCTTCTGTAGTACAAGCTAGCCTTCTCCTTGTAGCAATCTTCCTGCCTCAGCTTCTCAAGTGGCAGGATTATAGGTGTTTGACACCCCACCTGGCTCCTTCATTTTATTTTTTCCTAATGTGTTTCTTCATTCCTCCTCTTTCCTTGTATTGGCAGGGTCTGAAAGTATTCAGCTTGCTTTAAGAGAAAAGCAGTGAGGTGACTCACCTTTCAGAGGCACTTAACTGTAGGCTCTTTTTTTATTTTCTTTTTCTTCTTTTTTATTTTATTTTTTTTGTACTGGGGATTGAACTCAAGGACCTTGTGCTTACTAGACAGGTGCAGTGCCACTGAGATACACCCTTGGTCTGAAAGTGTAGTTGTTTTGTTTTTTTTTGGTACCAGGGACTGAACTCGGGACCTTGTGCTTGCAAGGCAGGCAGTGGAATCACTGAGCTAAATCCCCCGGCCCACCAAAAATGTAGTTCTTGAAAGGCTTTTTGATTATCAAAATTTGAGTTTTATTCTGAGTTTTAACTATCTTCTTCGAAAAGATGTTAAAATAAAAAATGGTATAATCTTGTTAGCTTTCCATTATGATTGAAAGATATCCTGTAAATTCATGGTGCCCTTTAACATTTGTTCCTAATTCCAGAATGTGTATAATAGAGACTAATGTTTTTAGTTAACCCAAACTCTAAGATGCTAAGTTGCCGAGCAGTTAAGATCCTTGTTATAGTGGATTCTATATGCTCTAATAAGGTCCAGACTGATATTGCCTAGGTTTGGACTCCCCATCCTCCGGTCATCCACAGGAATTTCCTGAGCTGAGGAAAGGGAGGTAATCGTGTTTACATTCCCCAGTGGTATGCCAGTTTTAGAATACTATCTGTACATCCAGTTTACAGATGGGGAAGCTCTTTGATTTGCAATCTATTTAAGAAATTTGGCTGGTGCATGCCTGTAATCCCAGCACCTGGTAGGCTGAGACAGAAGGATCAGAAGGACCACCATGAGTTCAAGGCCAGCCTGAACTATAAAGAGAGACCCTGTTTCAAAACAAAAACCAAAAACCAAAACAAACAAAACCCAAGCCAAAACAAAACAAAAACTTGCCCAGGCTTAAGGTGGAATAGCCATAATGTGACCTCAGGAACTTCATACTCTGGACTGTGCCTTTCGGAAGAGTAGGTTCATGGAGAACACTGGAATATCAGAGAGCTTCCTAAGTTTGTTTTCAAAGGAGGAAGCTTTCAGCCAGTGAATGTTCCCCTGCCCAAGTCCTTGAATAGGTGTGTGACAGCTTCTTTCACAGGCTTATAAAAGGCCTAGCGACTTGTCTATTCTCCCCCTCTCATAATTGGGATCTGTATTCTTTTACGGCGGAATATCAACTCCAGGTCCTGTCTTATATTTGTCTGTGGCATGGTTTGGTGCTGATTTTTCCACTCTTCTCCTTTTTGCAGTTATTTCTGATCTTTCCTTTCTACTTCCTGGGTTTGTGGCAGAATTCTCCTGTTGCTCCCCACCACCATCCTGAACACTGACAAGCTCTTCCTCTTTCTGCCTCTCTTAGAACTTGATTTCACTCCAGCCTGGTGTGGCCACCCTTGTCTTCAGATGGGAATGGAATTTGATTGGCCTGCCTGAGAGCAAGGGGGACCCAACCCTTTGTTTCCTTGTAACCTTCCTTGGACCTGACTCAGCAGCCCTGGAAGAACCTTAATCTACCTGATGGCAACCATGAGTTCTCCTCAAAACCACGTCTTGCCCCAGCAACTGAAGTGCTTTTCCTCCCAGACTGTCTGAACTAACCCAGCTTGCTCCTTCCCTGTGTCAAGTTGTGCCCTGTACCTTGGGAAGCCCATGTAAGACTGTCCCAAGGTACTGTATATTCTACCTCATGGAGTATTCTTCACCCAGAAATTGCAATGTACTTTTTTAGGGAATATCTTTAACAAAGTAGAGGGTCTCAGATCGTCTTCAACCTGGCAGGATGCCAGTTTTCAAACTTGTCCTTATGTCCTGGAAATGGGGGACCAGGAGATGCCATTTTGGTTTGGAAAGTTGTCTTTGAAATTAAGCTCTTAATAAGTTCAGCTTGGGGGCCAAGTTCCCCCTCCTGTGCTGTATTCTTTCATGTTTACTCAGAGGGACCAGGATGATGTCATCTGAGGTTATCTTCTCCAAAGGTTGAGGGGTGGGATGTTTCCATATCTGAGTCTTGGAAACTTAATGCTGTTAGTGCTTCTTTGTGCAGCTAAAAATAACCACGGATTTAAAATTGGACTGGAGATAGGTGCTAGAGTCTGAGGTTCTGGAAATATTTAATGAAACTGTGTGAGTACTGAGTCACGTATGTGTTTCAGGTGTATTTTTATAACTGTGAGATTCATGTACCTTATCCGTGTCTTGTCTCTCAGGAAGTAGGAAAGTAGAAGTGGAAAATACTGTGACTTCAACAAAACCAACCAAACACAAAAGCAACTTTGAGGTAGGCTAAAAATTAGGTGAGGAACATTTGCTTTCCTGCAAATGAGTCATTATAGGACAAAGTTCCCAAGCTACCAAGAAGCTTGTTTTCTGGATGAGTACTGGGACAATCAAATGACCTCTTTGGAGCGAGGACCGAGTTGGTCCCAGTACATTTTTCTGCACAGCAGATGGAAGGTGTAATATCTGGCACCTTTCCGCAGCTGCTGCTTGAGGCTTGTCCCACAGCAATCTGGCATTATTTATATGACCTTTGGGATGTCGTGTCTTTGGGGCTGAGTCAACTGGGACAGACTGGACTCTAGAGTGGCTCTTCCTGCTCTGCGTGAATGAGATTTAGAAGTTCTACATTTCCTCCAGTTTCATCACATGGGAAGCCACAGCCAGGAAATCCTGCAGTTAACTGCTGACCCACTGGTGGGCCCCTCAGGTCCCTGCTGGTCTCACCCAGGCTCCCTGCTCTAGGTACGAGCTGTTTCAGCTCTGATTTTAATGGTCTCCAGGACAGGGCAAGTACTGCCCATGAGCTTCCTTTGCAAAGGTTCCTCATTCCTGGTACTCAGACAGAACCACAGGTGTGCTCTCCTCCCCACGGTTATGATGTCTGACAAGGACCGGCACCAGCAACAAGGAGAGAGACAAACTAATCCCAGGCCTTGGCTCTCTTCTGAGATTAGGCCTGGTGCTTAAAGTTCAGAACACAGCATGTGAAGGGTTTTTCTTCTTTGTATTTTTTTTTAATGTAAACTTGATTATTTTATTGCTAATTTAAAAATAAATGACTTTATATTGATTGTGAAATGGCTCTAGCTCCCTTCCTAACACATGGTAATTTGGTACCATTGTGTGATTTTTGTTCAGGTTTTGCAATGGGGTTAAACCCTCACTCAGTGATGAAGCTCAAATTCTTGAAAATGACTTAATTTCTCAAATGTGTCTTAACTGTATTTGAGTTTCAGAGTTGAGGTGCAGCCCCTGAAAGAATCTGGTTCATTCACTGAGCCATGTCTAGCAGAAATGGGAGACCTGTGATGTTACCTGCTGGAAGGCAGAACAGCATCCTCAACACGCAGAGATCCCTGTTGATCTAGTTTTCGGATCGCTCACCTGGAAACACTTCTGTGAAGTCTGGGTTCTGGAAGCCAGATCCATCTCCTTTCCTTTTTACTGCTTCCTTCCCCCTCATACCCTCTCCTGTGTCAGGAAACCCTTTGTCAGAACCATTTGTCTACAACAATGTCATTTCTCGCAATTTTTCTTTCCTTATCTGGACCAGCAGAAGAAGATTATGATCATGATCTGCTGTGTAATCTTTGCAATCATCTTGGCTTCTACCATTGGGGGCATATTTGCCTAAAAAGGTGAGCCACCTGTGGGTAGGGTCAGGCCTGCTTCCCACTTGACACACGTGGTCAGGGCTTCACTGGTTCCCGTAATCTGAGTAGGACTGATTCTCAAACAGGGTTACGGTAGAGAAAACTAAAGCAATGTTTCAGGGAGAAAAAGTGTAGAATGAGTTAGAAGCAGAAAGAGGAACAGAAAGGGAGATAGAAGGCAGCTATCTGCCTGAAAGAACTGAACTTAGTAGCAGAAAACAGTACTTTGAAAGAGGGTAAAGGTGAAAAATTCAGGCCTTGGTATCTGAAAATGGGAAAAGAGCAAGAATTAGTTTTTTGTATTAGGTGGACCCTGAACTATTTAGAAGAGAGCCACAGTAGAACTGTGTTAAGTATCTTCCCTTCCAAGGTTAGGATGTTAGCACAGCCTGAAGAAGAGGGAGGTGGTGATCCTGTCCATGAAGCTAATTTTGCTGATGACCCCCACCCTAATGCCCCATCCTTCTGCCACCACAGATGGACCCGACTGGCATTTCTAGTTCTCCTTTCACCTCCATGGTGCCATCGCTTCTCTACTGCAAACTTCTCATCAGCCATGTCTTCTTCCATTAGGAAACATCGTATGACACTGGACACAAATTACTTATGACAAGCTACGCAAAGGGAGAACGGAATTGACAGGGTGGGAATGAAGGAAGAGCACAGCAGTGCACAGGTGTTTAGGCTGAGGTTTAAAGGCCAGTTCTGCAGAGCAGAGAGCAAACACACCAGTGTCTATTTAGGTCACACCTGAACCTTTGAGTGGCTGTGAAGAGTTGGACATTGAAGCTCACCCAGCCCAGCAGGGTCTTATAACTGCTGCCATTAAGATCAGGACACTTGTTGCTTCTACCAATCATACATCTGATTCCTTCATCAGGGACTACACTAGATCTCAAGATAGGGCTTATTCAAGGATGGGCATCATGCCTGATGTCTTGCTCACCATGTCCCCCTGCTTGGCATAGTGCCTGTCACTCACAGGTGCTCAAATATTTGTGGACTGGATTACCTATAATCAGGATTGTGAGTTCATTCATGGATGAGTCCCTGGGTTTCACTTTTATCTATGAGACATCAATGGGAACAGGGTGTGTTGCTATCAGAGGCTGTGTAAAGCTGTCTGGCCATGGGCTGATTCATTTATGTAAAAATATTACAAAAGGTGTCCCCAATCACAACAGATGCTATAAAGTGTGGTCTCTGGGCAGTAGTGGTGGAGTCCTATTAGTACCTTCCATCCCACAGACAAGATCATCACAGGAGGGTGGCTCAGTAACCAAATCCAGACGGCCAGCAAATGAAGTTCTAGGCTGAACTCCCAACAATCAACAGTACCATTCTAATCCACAAGGAGATATTACCACCCCCACCTTTAAAGGCTAGTATCTCCTTTATTAAAAAAATAAACATATTTAACACCTTTTGAGTCAACATATTTCAAATCACATTAAGCAGAAAGGAAATAGTCCCTTTGGGAACTGTGAACAAGTGTAGGAAAGCACGTTCCTGACAATGGGGATGAGGTGTTTCTAGCTGCTGAATCACCAGGTGGAGCCACACACCAACTTAGAGAAAAACACACAGGCAGCTTTGAAGCCTGAAAGGCACGAGGCGGACCACAAGGTGTATGGCCCATTCACTGATAAAAGATGGAGAAACTGATAAAAGTGGAGAGATTTTAATCTAGTCAGACCAGAGAAGACAGGAGTGCTCTGCTCAGCATCATAAACACCTTTGCATATGAGAGCTATTCTTTGCTTCCCCTTCCCTGCCCATGGAGTCCATCGTGCGGTGCTCACTTGGTGACAGTGGGGTGTGCTAACACACACTGACACAGTGATGGGGAATACTACCAGGGCCGGTGTGGCAGCACCACCTGGAGATACACTACTAGGCCAGATGCATGGGCAGCTTCCCCTCCTCTTTTCTCCAATCTTTCTTTTGAGCTGCTGCGTATTTCCTAGTGGATGCCAAGGATGTGTCCAGTCAGAGCTTGCCAAGTCAAGAGCTCCTCCAATTAAGGCAGAGAATTCCTTTTCTTCAGATTCAAGAACTGCTGTCTTCCATAACTTCTGCAAATTGATTTCCTGCCTCAGGGCTGTTTACCTGCCTCTCATTTCCACAAATGGCCAAAGCTGTCTTGAGCACAAAAGCATTCAGAACACTGCCCCCAAGATCCAGTGTGTGCAGCTGTAAAACCAGCTATGTGTACATTAGTCTCAATAGTTTTCTTAGTGATTGTACTGCAAGAGGGTCACTAAAAATACATCAATAAATTGCAGAGTACAGTGCTTGAGTACCATCCAATGTTTTAAATTTGTAGTTTTAAACTAAATTGTGTGTGTGATACTAAGGATTGAACCCAGGGGTGCTTTAGTGCTAGGCTTCATTTCTCAGCCCTTTATCTTGAGGTAGGCTCTAAATTGGCCTTGAACTTGAGATCCTCCTGTTTCAGCTTTCCAAGTAGCTAGGATTACAGGTGTGTACCACCCTCCCTGGCTGAAAGTAAATTTTTATTTTCTTTCCTGAAGATCTTACTTTTAGAGAAACTGGGATTAAAATATGATACTTTCCTCAGTGCGCTGTCTTCTACCCACTTTCAGAAAAAAATTTATTTTAGTATTTTTAAAATTTGAGACAGGCTCTCATTAAATTGCTAAGTTGTCCAGGTGGAACTTGAACTTGTGACTCTCCCACCTCAGTCTCCCAAAGTGCTGGAATTACAGGCATGTGCCACCACACTCAGCACAAGTGGTTTAATATTTCTATTAATTTGTGTTTAGTTTGAAGAGGGGACAGAGACCACAGCTGGTTGGCTCTAAAAGCCAGATTAATTTTGTTATGGCAAACATGGAGCTGGAGTTGGGGGTGTGTCATGTGGGGACCCCACTCCTCTGTGGTAATGTGTGTGCTTCACGGCACAGGGCACCACAGACCCTGTAGGGACACAAAGGTAGCGCCAACACACTCCCTCCTGCCACCAAGAAAGCACCACAGAAGCCGACTTCGCCATTAGTCCCTCTCCCATGAGCTGTGTTCGTCACAATGTCCACTGTCCCTTCTTCCGAGACTGAGGGAAGATGGCTAGGTGGGCACCAATAAACATCTTTTGAACCCATTGCCTTATGTTCTGTCATTTGTCCTTGCTTGGGACTAGGAAAATGTCACAGAAGCCAGCCCCTGCAGTGTGGACACCTAACAGGCATGCAGAACTTGAGCCAGGCTTGCACCAATGGTATGAAATGCCTGAAGACAATTATTTTATAATTCAGGAGAAGCCAGAGCTCTCACCAATCATCCTTACTCTCCTAAGGGATGAAGGTGACCAATGCGAAGTTATACTCTGAGGTGATGCTCCAACTTTAATTATTAAAAAATCAGTAGATATGAGAGCTTTTCACACATTACTTACTCATATGCTGCTCCTTAGTTACTAAGAGCCACCCAGAGGCTTTTAGGGGAAGCCGAGGGAATAAAAACGGAGATTTCTTCTCTCAGTGGCCGAGGCATGTGAGTTCCTATGCTCTTGCTACACACGTTTGGGCAGGAAGAATTTGCCCCAGTACCGACCCTTCTGGGTCAAGTCATAGGGGCTCAGCACCTTGCGTATCCCCAGCATGTTGGCAGTGGCTATGCGCTCAAAAGTCCAGGGGTTTTGGTTGTTCTGTTCTCTTTCCTCCTGATCTTTGTGCATCTTCTCGAGTGTTTCACGGCTCACAGCCTTCGCTGGGAAGGGTAACTTGTGGGCAACCTGGTTCAGGAAACCTTGCACCTCCTTGAACTCACAACGTCCGCCAATCTCTACTAAGAGGCGGCCAGTCTTCACAGGTGTCACGTAGTGATCGATGGCACCTTTGCCTCCCCCCATGCGCTGCCCAACACCTTTGCGGGTGATGGGCTTAAAAGGGGCTGGTACTCGCCATATGGCGAACATATTCTTGACATCCATAGACCGGTTGATTGTCAGGCGCATCATTTCAAAATGGCCCCAATGGAGGTAACCACCTCCAAGTGCCTAAAAGTAAGAGAATCAGAAATGCATGGGGACCTGGGTATCTTTTATGGTCTCTATTATTATGTCTTTTACAACTGTGGCTTTAATGATACACATAAATATAGAAGCAAGTTCTCGTAAGTGGCATGGAGGAAAAGCCTAGGGTAACAGTAATAAAGGAGAGCAGGGGTGGACTCATTCCGGTGACAGGAAAGGCTTCTTGAGAAGGTGACATTTAAACTGAGGACGGAAATAATAAGACAGAGCCAAGGGAAAAGAGGATAGTTCCAGGCAGAGGAACAGCTATGGGAAGGTCTGCAAAAAGTAAAGGGCTTGGTAAGTTTGAGTAGAGATGAGCATGGCTGGAGCAAGGAGCACAGAGAACAAGCATGAGGTTCCACAAGGTCAGAAGGGGCACAGATCGTGCAGCCCAGGGATGAGGACTTTACAATGTCACTCTGGCTGCCTGACGCTATTTGTGTAGCCACTCATGCTAAATCTTTATGGAAACCTTTCAACAAGTAAGGAACTAGCTGCTCTGTACCCAAGTCATGGACAGTTTCATTTTTACCCAGAGGCTTGAAGCCATCTCATGGTCAGGGCAGATTAGGAAGCCTCTTCTCTTTTGCATTAGGACCACCCACCTGTTTCATTTTCTGTGATTTCATTTATGAGTGGTCAACCATGTTTTACACTTGACCTTAGCCAAAAGGCCGAGAAGTGATGAACCATGTTCTGAATATATTAAATGGAAAATCCTAAAATAATTTGTAATTTTTGAGCTGCACACTGTTCTCAGTAGTGCACTAGAATTTCACTTCTGATTCTGCTCTGTTCCTCCTGGGATGTGAATCGCCAGTCACTTAGTGCCCATCTAGGTCATTAGATTGACCGTCGCAGTATCACACTGCTTGTACATGTTCAGCACTATCAGTCTCAAGTATCCAGTGGAAAACCTGGAATGCAGCTCCTGCAGATATGGTGGGGGAGCTAGTATGTTTTCACTGTACATTAAAAACAAACAAACAACCCCCCTCAACTCACCAAAATCCCAAAATTGCCTTCTGTGAACTCAGTAGCTTCAGTAGAAGGTCCCCGTATATCACTCAAGTTTTTAGGTTCTCTTCTTACTTTTGGCACAAGTGGTGCCCTTTCAACAAATTTAAGCTTGGGCTTTTCAGGAATGGAAACATCTAAAGGAACAACACAGAGAAGCAAGAATTAAAAAAAAAAAAAAAATCACACATCTCAAAAGCATCTAGTTTCTTCTTGGGAAGATCAGTAACACTCAAGTGAAAGTCTCACAAAGTTACCACTGAACCATTAATTCCAAAGATCTATTCTTCTTGCCGATACTTTTAGTGAACCGGTATCTGTGTGTCAAGACAAATTAAGTTATTTTTAAACCTTAAGAAGTAGTGAAATTTTAACCTTCAAACCCAAATGTACTTACTAAACCCCTACTGTAATATCCATAACAGAGATTGTTTGAAGATCATAATTTCATTTAATCTTTAAAACAACTTTATAGCCTTGGCACATTTTTTTAGGATTTCCTTTTTAAAATTAGATGTTTAACACACACATCAAAGGACCCAAAACAGTCAATTATTAGAAAGGGAATACATGAACATACATTGATCACAGGCTAGAAAACAGAATATTAGGTGGGTTGTATTTTCAATGTCTATTTTATGGAAGAACCTAAGGCCCACAAGTGTCTATAATTTGGTCTAGATTATCTAGTTCAACAAGTAAAGCCAGACAACATGATTTGTTTTAAAAAATTACTTCACTGTCTCTGGATGTCATTGGGTTAGTGGATAACTCTACACTGTACATAAAAATATCTAAGTTCTCCAGCTCTATCATATTTTTTTGGGGAAACTTACAACCCAGGATTTTTTGGCTAAGCTCTGTATAGTTCCTACAATGTGCAACAGTGTGCCTGCTGGGTGAGGGTGGGAATTCCAGGCCACATGTGTGGCATCTTTATCAACTGACAATTTGGGAAAAAAATACTAACTTTTCATTAAAAAAATTTAGGGAAATATAATTCCACGATAAAAACAAATAGAAATAGGAGACTTCAAGGAAACATCAACAGTGGAAACATTAAATTACTATATTTCAAGTTACAGAAACTACTTCCTCCCCCCAGCATCTATGTGCAAGTATAAATTGATTTTTTTTCCCAGTATGGGGAATTGAACTCTGGATCTTGTGCTTGCCAGGCAAACACGGTGCCATTGAGCAAAATCCCAGGCCTGCAATTATAAATGTATTAATGTCTTTTTTTGGGGGGGGCCTATAAACAGAGAACATATAACAACAATTAATGTGTAGAATGCCACCAGATGTCCAGTACCCTTCCATTTTTTTCAAGGCTTTCAATACATTACAAGAACGGTAAGTTAGATTTACAAAATTGTGGCTACTTTAAATGTTTAAGTAACTGATGCTTTTCATATTATTGTTAAGCGACTTAATGAAGTAAAAAGTCCTAGTATGAGGTTAATTAGCTCTGCTTGAGCGGACCTTGGCCACATAGCAGTGGTAGGCAGTAGGGGATCGAACCCATTCGCCCTGCGGTCCTTAAAACTAGGGTTTCTAGCTTCTTTCTTAACAGTGCTTGGCAATGTTATGCCTTCAGCGGGGCGCGGTGTTTCGCACATGTAGTAAACTGTGGGGGGCTGGGGCGGGAAGACGCAAAGTTCGGGTCCAGTCCCGGCAACTTCAAAGTACAAAACGCAGAAAGGCCAGGGTCGTGGATTCCACCCCCAGGCCCCGCCACTACATATCCTATGCTTCAACACTTATTTTTCGGAGGGACGAAAGGGGACCGCAAGGTCAAGGTGCGGCTGGGGCTGCCCCATCAGGGAGGCCGCGCTCGAGTCTCACCTTCGAAAGTCGGCACCGGAAGCAGCGTCTTCAGCCCGGCGCTGGTGACAGGGGCTGCCCGAGAACCTGCAAAGACAATTCTGGTCAAACGAGAAGGCGACGAGACCGGGAGTGGAGCGGAGGGGCTGAGTGCTCCGGGCCGCGGGGAGTCTCGCCAGGTCCCCGGCCCGGACCCGCGGGCCCTGGAGGCCGGG